ATCCCATGTCAAAAAATGAGACCCTCTTAGCTCGGCCAAATAGCCCCTCAGGGAGCCTTCCTTGACTCCCAACTATCGGCTTAGCTGCCATTCCCGCCTATTGAATTAAAATCCCATTCCCGCCTGGCACTGATGACGCTACCTAGTTGGCTCATGAAATGTCTCCCGGAAGGCAACCAAGCTCAGAGAGCACCAAGGGCCCTTCGTTTCTACCCTGAGCTCCAAATATTCTCTCCCGTCCCATGTTTTCCCTCCCAAGAGGCCTCCGGGTCTCACCTCCAGAGATAAAGGTATCAAAGATGATCTGAGCCCCGTTGAAGAAATCCCCAAACTGAGCCTCCCAAATGGGCAGGAGGTTGGGGCTGTCGATGCTCATCCCGTACTCAAAGCCCAGCACCGCTTCCTCCGACAGGGGGCTGTTGCTTACCTACGGGAGAACGGGAGACCCAAGAATGGGAAACGGCGGATTTGCAGGGAATCGGCCCCTCCGAACACACTCTCTCTCACACACACACACTCACACACACGCTCACACTAAAAGCGAAATATTTGAGGAAGCTTATGGATGGATGGATGGATGGATGGATGGATGGATGGATGGATGGATGGATGGATGGATGGATGGATTGATGGAAGCAGTGAAGAGGAAGAGAGAAAGAAGGAAGGAGAAAAGGAAGGAAGGAAAGAAGGTTATGGATGGATGGATGGATGGATGGATGGATGGAAGGAAGGAAAGAAGGACACGGAGGGATGGTTGAATGGATGACACTGATGGAGGGATGGACCGGATGATATGGATGGATGGAAGGAAGAGGTGAAGAGGAAGAGAGAAGGAAGGAGAAAACGAAGGAAAGAAAGAAAGATATGGATGGATGGATGGATGGATGGTCGTCTTCTGTCTCTCCCTTTCCCTCTTTCTCCCTCTTTCTTTCCCTCTGTTCTCTCTCTCCCTTTCTCTTTCTCTTTTTTCTCCCTCTTTCTTTTTTCCTCTTTCCCTTTTTTTCTCTTTCTTTCTTTTTCTCTCTCTCTTTCCCTTTCTCTCTCTTCTCTCTTCATTTCTCTTTTTATATTCTCTCTCTCCCTTTTTTCTTTCTCTTTGTCTCTTTCTCTTTTTTCTCTCCCTCCCTCTCTCTCTCTTTCTGTGTATTATCTGAAACTCTGCACTGCAAGTGATGAGCAGCGTGGAAAGCAAATTACAACACAACACCCCCACGCGCTCTCAGAGAGAGCAAGCTAACGTGGGATGACCTGCAAATAAACCTTATTTGAGCCCCGGGAGTTTCGCTCCCCAGAATGTCCCCCGTGTGAAGTCCACGCGAGGCAGCGCGTGCGGTGAAGTCCTCTTGGTCCAACCTCCCTTCCTCACCTCAAGGAAGCCCTTCTGATCTGCAGACATGTGGTTCAAAGGGATGTAGGTGTCCCCCGTCTCTTGACAAACCAACATGGCGTGTCTCTGGCTGAACGTTCCCCGGCCGACGTCTTGCCCGCTTAGACGAAGGTTGAAACCTTGGGAGAAAGCAAATCTGTGGTGAGGATTGATAACAATGTGAAAGATTCAGAAGGAGGAAGACCTCGCTTCTTCCCAAGGACTTCCCTAAATGAAGACTTCTATACCTATCTCCAGGTCTGTTTTGCCTTCTCCTTCTGGCTAAAATAAGTGTTTGTCTAGTTCTCCTAACATTGGGTGGTTCTAAATATCTCTTTTGACCTATTTATAAGGTGGGGGAGTGTGATTTAATGCCAAGTCAACACTGAGGGAGCCCGGCGTCCTTCGGGATTGGGCGGCATATAAATGTGGTTAATTAAATCAAATTAAATTGTTTAATGACCACTCGTGGTCAACCTTCTCAGGCGGATCAGACAGGAAATATATCCAGATGAGCTCATTCTACTTTATTGTAAAGGTAAAGGTTTCCCTGCACATGTGTGCTAGTCGGGGCGGTGCTGATCTCCGTTTCAAAGCTGAAGAGCCAGCGCTGCCCAAAGATGTCTCTGTGGTCATGTGGCCGGCATGACTCAACGCCGAAGGCGCACGGAACGCTGTTCCCTTCCCACCAAAGGTGGTCCCTATTTTTCTACTTGCGTTTTTGCTTTCGAATTGCTAGGTTGGCAGAAGCTGGGAGAGGTCACGGGAGCTCACTCCATTATGCGGTGCTAGGGATTCGAACTGCTGGCCTTTCTGATTGACAAGCTCAGCGTCTTAGCCCCTGAGCCACCGCGTCCCTGTAAAGGTACATTAGCAGAATCTTGCAAGTGTCCCAATCTTCCACCGTCTCTTTTGCAGCCTGAGAAATGAGGAGACCTCCCCAGCAGAGGGGCTTTTTCAGGAGGCAACTGGACTTCCTGCCAAGGGTTTTCCTAAGTGGACTTCTACATTTTTCCCATTTATGTTTATTTTCCTGGCTTCATAGCAGATGCAACTTTTATGTCTTAAAGTCCTACCTTGACACAGTAGGGAACCAAAGGCTAATGCTTCAGCAGTGGCCCAGTCTAACTTCACTCCTTCCTCCATCTTCAGCACTCGTGACTGCGTGCCCAACACAGAACGGAACAGAGCAGGAACAGAACAAAACAGGAACAGGAGGAGCAGGACAGAACAAGAACAGGAACAGAACAGAATAGAATGGAACAGGACGGAATAAGAACGGAAAGTGGAACAGACCAGAATAGGAACAGAACAGGAACAGAATGGAACAAAATAGGAACAGGAACAGAGGAGCAGGACAGAACAGGAACAAGAACAGAATAGAATGGAACAGGAACAGAACAAAATAAAACAGGAACAGGAGGAGCAGGACAGAATGGGAACAGGAACAGAACAGGAACAGAACAGGAGCAGCAGGACGGAACAAGAACGGGAATGAGAACAGACCAGAATAAGAACAGAACAGGAACAGAATGGAACAAAACAGGAACAGGAACAGAAGGAGCAGAATGGAACAAGAACAGGAATGGGAACAGACCAGAATAAGAACAGAACAGGAACAGAATGGAACAAAACAGAAACAAGAACAGAATAGAATGCAACAGGAACAGAACAGAATAAAACAGGAACAGGAGGAGCAGGACAGAATGGGAACGGGAACAGAACAGGAACAGAACAGGAGCAGCAGGATGGGACAGGAACGGGAACAGACCAGAACAGGAAGAGAACAGAGATAAACGCAAATCATTATTTTGTTACTTCAACTTCCGAAAGGTCGAAGGATTTTGTGCTTAATTTTTGCAGAAAAACTAAGCAATATGCCTATGACTGCATATGGTGGGGGAACAGGCAACCACACACACTCCATAACTTCATTGTGTATTACATGCACACCGTAACCTGTACATAATCCCTGCCAGTTGCACAATGGAGTAAGCCTCGGCCACTTGAATGGGACTTTCTGGTTCGAATGCGGTCCTAAAATCCTGCCTGTTTTTAAGTTTCCTTTTTAAGATAAGGACAGATGAAATAGGAAGCATTCAACGGGACGGTTTGTTCCTCCCATTCCTGCTGTTGGTTTAAAAAGCTAAGATTATTTAACGATATTTTTATCCGAAACACAATGCCTCACATACCGTCTTAAAAGCCACAGAGCATCTTTTTTTTTTTTAATTTCAAATATCACGGAACAGCAATCCCAAAAGTGCTTTTCCAAAAGGCCAATAACTGGACTTTTGTTTTTCCTTGAAAACCTTCCTCCAGAACTGAAGAAGCCTCCTGCGGATGAGAAGCGAAACCTCTTCAAGGAAAAAAACCCAGAAAGTCCAGTTGCCTTGAAAGTCAGCTGAAGAACCGGAGAAACTTCTTGGAGGAGAAGCGAAACGTTTTCCAAAGGAAAACCAGAAAGTCCCGTCGCCTTTTGAGAAAGCACTTTTAGGAGAACCTTGGCTGACGGAGAATCTCCTCAGATATGGAGTCATAATAGCGAGTTTTACAAAACATATTTTTGCCTCACAATCCAATACTTGAAGTAAATGAATGACAACAAACTGACTCATATTTGTGACGGTCGCAGTGTTCTGGGCTGACGCCATCCACTTTTACGACCTTCTGACCCGCCAAGTCAATGAGGGAAGCCCGATTCACTTAACCATCGGGTTACTAACTTAACGACTACGGCGATTCGCTTAACAGCCGTGGCAAAGAAGGTCGCAAAATGAGGCAAATCGCTCTCTTAACCAATGTCTCGCTTAGCCACAGAACGTCTGTGGCGCCATTGTGGTCGTAAGGACTGCCTGTCACAACCTCCTACGGGCCGAGAGTTGTATTTGAGGATGTCGAACCTGAGCGTGTGTCTTCAGGATGTGGTTGTGGAGTTGTAATTCTTCAGGCACTTCCACCGACTTGACTCCGACATACTGGAGGAGTGGCAGAGGGACCCCTGTGTCCCACGTTGTGACCCTCGGCGTGGGGTCCACCAGGCCGCTCCAGTGGGCCTGGAGGTTGGGGCAGGGAGGCGCGTACATCGCCATGGTGGAGAGATGCTCGTTGAGCTTGGAGTAATAGGAAGCTTTTATCTCCGCTATTTCTTGCTCGGTTGTAAGTCCCTCGGCCACCAGGCCCTCCGCGTAGGTATCCGGGATGCTTTTCCGGGATCTATCCAGCAAAAACGAGACACAAAAACGCAAAAAATGAGGTTTTGTTTCCCAAACCTCAGCCATTTTAAGATGCATGGATTTCAATTCCCAACCATCATTTCTCTATCTTAGCTATTTTAAGATGTATGGATTTCAATTCCCAGAATTCCCAGCCTTCGTATCTCAATCTTAGCCGTTTTAAATTATATGTATTTTAATTCCCAGAATCCCCCACCATCATTTCTCAATCATAGCTATTTTAAATTATATGGATTTCAATTCCCAAAATACCCCACCATCGTATTTCAATCTCAAGATATATGGATCTCAGTTCCCAGAATCCCCCACTCATTGTTTCCCAATCATAGCTATTTTAAATTATATGTATTTTAATTCCCAGAATCCCCCACCATCATATCTCAATCGTAGCTATTTTAAATTATATGTATTTTAATTCCCAGAATCCCCCACTCATCGTTTCCCAATCATAGCTATTTTAAATTACATGTATTTTAATTCTCAGAATCCCCCACCATCATAGCTTAATCGTAGCTATTTCAAATTATATGTATTTTAATTCCCAGAATCCCCCACCATCATATCTCAATCCTAGCTATTTTAAATTATATGTGTTTTAATTCCCAGAATCCCCCACCATCGTATCTCAATCGTAGCTATTTTAAATTATATGGATTTCAATTCCCAGAATCCCCCACCATTGTATCTCAATCGTAGCTATTTTAAATTATATGTATTTTAATTCCCAGAATTCCCACCATTATATCTCAATTGTAGCTATTTCAAATTATATGTATTTTAATTCCCAGAATCCCCCACCATCGTATCTCAATCATAGCTATTTTAAATTATATGTATTTTAATTCCCAGAATCCCCACCATTATATCTCAATCGTAGCTATTTTAAATTATATATATTTTAATTCCCAGAATCCCCACCATCATATCTCAATCGTAGCCATTTTAACTTATATGCATTTTAATTCCCAGAATCCCCAATCATCATATCTCAATTGTAGCTATTTCAAATTATATGTATTTTAATTCCCAGAATCCCCCACCATCGTATCTCAATCATAGCTATTTTAAATTATATGTATTTTAATTCCCAGAATCCCCACCATTATATCTCAATCGTAGCTATTTTAAATTATATGAATTTTAATTCCCAGAATCCCCCATCATCGTATCTCAATCATAGCTATTTTAAATTATATGTATTTTAATTCCCAGAATCCCCACCATTATATCTCAATCGTAGCT